CCCCTCACGGCGGACCTACGGGTGGACCTCCCAAGTTCATGGCCAGCCGGGCATGAGGCCCGGTGGACAGGGGTGTATAATCACTCAGCGGAATACCCGCACAAGGGGGCTGATATTCCAGGAGACGGAGAGAGCCGCCGACCTGAAAATCACTCCACGTATGGCGTTCTAGATAGTTCAGGTATCGGTAGACACTCGAACTCTGTACACGGCCCCTGGGGACCGCGGTAGAAGAATCTTTTTCTATATATATATATATATATATATATATATATATATAGTTTTAAAGTACAAAAAAATCTAGGTTAATTGAAATTAGGAATTACAGCTCATAATTTAAGCAATGTTTTGTGCACAACTGTGTGTGTGTGTGTGTGTGTGTGTGTGTGTGTGTGTGTGTGCGTGCGTGCGTGCGTGCGTGCGTGCGTGCGTGCGTGCGTGCGTGTGTGTGTATGTACAGTAAAATACTGTAAAATATATTTTTAAATTTTAGTATAAAATTATGTACTATCAATATTTAATATTCAAATATTTGTCAATTATTCAGTCCTAATATTATTTTAACAATTTAATTATACTATAATAATTTTATTTCAATATTATTTTCATTCTCGGATATCAAACATCTATTTTTAATTAAATAAAATACGTGCTTTATTATATAAAGAGATAATTTAAGAAATATTGAATTATGAAGTGTGATAACAATATTTAACTTCGTAATATAATTATAACGTCAACATATATTGACGTTACATGCAATTTAATTATAATTAGTTATAATATGATAAATTCAAAAATATATTATTGAACACATGTTGTATTATAATTTTATTATTAAAGTTGCTCTTACATTATTATAAATCTATTTTTTATTATAATAAATATAGTAGTAATTTTTTTAAAGTATCTAAAGTGGTTCTTATAATTATGCTAATAATTATAAAATTATTATATTATAATGCATTATTATATTATTATAATACTACAATTTTAATACTATTAAATTTTGTGTATGAGATAAAATAGTTTTAATGCTGTGTTCCATTTTATTTGTTAGGCTATAAAACGTTAAGTTATAAAATGAAGCCAATAATGATGAAATATCGTTTCCCAAGCGTTGGATACGCAGAATAAAATTAGAGTAATATAGACAAATTAATTATTAATATAAATATTAGATAATATATTTATATATTTAAATTAAATATAGATAATATAGATATAAAAAGCACAATAAGTGAGAATTTTAACGTCGCGTAAGAAAATAAAGAAACTAGTTGCCGCGAGAGGCAGTAATAAAATCAGTTTCGAGATAATTTATCGCGAGCTATCGTTTAAGTACATATTGCCCATTGTCGGGCGTTGCAAAATTGAAGCTGTATCGGGGACTCTCTCTCTCTCTCTCTCTCTCTCTCTCTCTCTCTCTGTCTGACGACCTGACCCATAATTTACAGTAATGACGAGCCCGTGGACGTCCGCTCAGTCCGCTCAGTCCGCTCAGTTCAATCGGCGCTTGTCCTGGGGTGGCCCGGGAGGGCGCGAGCCCTACCCCCAGCAGATTTCCCCATACGGGTACGGAGCCAACGAAGCAGGCCCCTGGGATCCAGCGCAAATCCTCGCCAGAAGTCAAGAGTTCGCGTACCCCCTCGACTGCCGCACCCTCGTACAAGGCGACAAGTACGAGGCCGCGGAAAACGTCCTCGGGGCGCAGCGGATGTACGAAGGCGCCGCGACGGCCGAGCAGGTGAGCACCGAGACTTTTGACTAAGTCTGGCAATATGAGCAATTATGAGCATTACCGTAGCATATGATTTTGCCGGTCACGAGGAACGAATAACAAATACTTTAACGAAAGCGCTCCGAGCGTACGTCCGGTAATGATAGCGATCGTATTAACGTATGCAATGCATATGCGCCGCAGGTGAAGATCCACGAGTCAATGGGGCCACAGAAGCCCGAGGTCAAAGGGAGCCAGCCTGGTGCGTCGAAGGTCGAGGTCAGAAAGCCGAGCTCCCGATCGGCCCGCGAGACCCACATAGAGAGCGAGCAGTTCCCGACTTTGGGCAACTGGGTGGCCTCCCTCATCGGCAAGCAGACTGCGGAACGCGCGTCGACGAAGCTCGCACCGGATGCCATTGGCCAAAAGCCATATTATCAGGTGCGTACGTCAATTGTCAATGCGTGGAAGTTGGCGCCCGCGAACGACTCTTCGGCTCTAATTATCTAACGCGGCTAATTAGAAGCCATTGGTCGCTCGCAAGAACGTCGACGCGAGGAAAAGCTCGAAGTATCATTGGTGGTACACAAGGTTGAAGAAATATTTATCTGTTTGGGAATATAAAGGATGGACGAGGAATGAACTATTTCATAAAATGAGCTTTTTTGTTTAATAGTTATTTATGGGTATTTTGAGAATTTCTTTGTAAAAAGAAAAATGGAAAAAGAAAATGGTTCTATCGCATTCCGCATCAATCAACGAAAGTTTATAGTAATTGTATTGATATATAAATTCCTCGGAAATTACCTTTGCTTGTAATCTCTAATAAGGAAAATAAAAATATATACAGTTATGAAAATACATGGCTTTTTTAAATTTATCATGTATTTGATTGTATTTTCATGACATTCTATCGATCATAATTTGATATGTGATTCTAATTTGCAAAAGATTGTCAAAACATTAAAATAAGTCTCTTCTTATTAATTAAATTTAAAAGTATGAAGTTTCACGTATGTATTCTAATCATTTATATTCCATAATATTGATTTTTAAATATACATTAGTTGCTGGTCGATTAGAATAATCGCTTGCAAATCTCTAAAAATAATGATTAAATCAAATTAATTATTGCTGAGAAATTGATTGTACTTCATCCTTATATTCGAGGATCGTGTATTATTATTATTGGTAAATTGTAACAAAATAATAATAATAATAATAATAATAATAATAATATTATTATTATATCAATTAGAGAAAGGTAATTAAATAAAAATATCTGATAGTACATATTTCATTATTTCATTATTTGAAGTTGTTTATATCAGGTGTTTTTCTTTAATTGTCAATAGGGCAATTTTTAAATTATTTATCAACTGCATTTAAAGACCGTGTATGACGATATTTAACAATAAAAATTTAATAAAAACGGTTTTGATGGAAAAAAATATTTACCAATTAAATGTTGATTTATTTTTTATATTTTTTTTTTATTTTTTTAGTAATTACGTTAACTTCATTTAAATTAAATTCTGTTTTCAGTATAGAGTAATAGAAAAAAGTATTTTGCATATGCATTGCCTTGATTATAAATACAAAATTTCGGTTAGATTAATCATTGGCTCTTCGTTATCAAATATCGAGAGATAGTTTTGTAATCATAATAACTATAATAATAATAATAATAATAATAATAATAATAATAATAATAATAATAATAGTAATAGTCCGATTTTCGTATTTTGTTAAACTACATCCGTATATTTTTATATCATTATACGCTTTAATAAGGCTGAAAGGAACACACACACACACACACACACACACACACACACACTCTCTCTCTCTCTCTCTCTCTCTCTCTCTTATTCATACGATTCGACAACCAATCGATAACATTTCCGAACAAAACAAGGCCATTGGGGATTTAATGTGATTTCACGTTTCGTCGTTAGCCGCAGTCGCCGAGCACTGCTGAGTCGTACAAATCAACGGCCGATCTTGGATCGACGGGGACGATGGCTAGCAATTACATGGGCAATGGTTATGCATCGATCCCTGGAAGATGGACGACTGATCAACAGCAGCAACAGCAACAACAACGGCAACAAAGGCAGACAGGCCAATCCTCTCAACAAGATCAACTACCGGGGACACGCTTTCTTCCCCGTCAACAGAGCTTTCATGCGCCGATCTCGTCCACGTCTGCCGCTCTCTCCTATTCATCTAAATATTCCGTGAGTGGTTTCTATATATCGCGTCGACCGCATTTTACATAGTCCACGTTGGCCATGAGCACCATTCATCCCTGGCAACAGGTATTGTTTGCTTCTTCGGCATCCTAAACTAATCCAGATAGATTGAGAGTCTCCGGCTTATGCAATTAAAAGGAACTGATGATCCTGACATTTACTTAGCCTTTGATTAATATCATCGAGTATTGAAAACGTCTTTGCTTTAACCGAGAATAATTGTAATCAATGCAGCCTCACACTACTGCCTTATGCGTTTGCTTAATGCGAATTATCCTAAAATTAATTCGATGCAAAGAAAGATGATGTTCTTTGTATTAATGGAAATTCACAAATCTCTCCATCATTTTCTAATGAAAGTATCTAAAATTACTAAAATTTTGCCAATGTTTTGCGATACTTATTCACTCTCATATGGAAATATATACAAATTTATACTTCGCATTAAAATTTATAATGAAAAATATTTTTAAATATGTTCACTTACTGAACATATTAATTATGACTATTTCGGAAACAGACTTATAATCCATTTTTCTCCATTATTTTGATTTAATATTAGATTACGTTTTGACAAATCATCTATTATTTTCTTTATCGCTTGTTTCTTATCTCAAATTAAACTATTGCCTCTATTTCTATTTATTTGGTTGTAGTTTTTTTTTATTATTTATTATTTCTATTATTATTATTATTATTATTATTATTATTATTATTTATTTTTTTTTTTTCGCTTCCTGATGAAATAACACTCACCTATTTTATTACTCTAATCAATACAATAATATAATTAATTATTAACTGTGATCAATATTTTGAAACGCTTAATATTACGCAATAAAGTAACAAGAAAAATGTACAATTATCGATTATTATGCTTATTTATACAAAATTAAGGAATTATATTACTACGACATAATACAATGACGTTATTCCGTTGATTATGATATATATGGAAGAAAAATATTACTTTTTTATTAATTGACAAAAATCCATCTAATACATTGTCCTAATTTTCATTTTTT